CTGGGCCTCGACCCGCGCCGGGACTACGCTGCCGCGGTGCCCCGACTCCTGCACAGCCTCGCCGACGGTGCGCACGGCCTGGCAGATGCTCCCCTTGGTCTTCCTGGGCTAGCGGCGCCTCCCGGCCTGGAGGAACTGCAGGTGAGACCAGAAGGGCCCGATATGGGGGCCGGGATGGGCAGCGATTGAGCATCCTGGCTGGAAACAAAACATGACAAAAGCAGGATCCTCGACTCTTCTCCCAGCCCGCAACTTTCCATTTATGCCTCTGTCAGGAATAATAATGGTTAGGTGTTGTCTGGCAAAAAGGCGGCCTCGAAACTGAGTAGGACGGCAGCAACCTTCTTGGGATCACTTCTTTCTCTCCCCACTGTGGGACTGAGCCACGGTGGGCATCCACGCCCAGCCCCAGACTTCTGGAGCAGCCTAGGCTGGAGTTTAAAGAGGCTCAGTAGATGTCTGTCTAAGGCAAGGAGATCACCCAGGCAGGACTGCGGCTTGGGCGCAGATGGTGCCGAGCCCAAGCGATTCCTAGTCACGCCCGTCCTCCTGGTAGCCGCCTCAGGCAGCCGGTGGTGACCATAGGGCGGAGCAGACGTGGACTAAGGGGCAACTGACTAGGTCCTTATGCGCCCTCGCTGTCATCCTCTTCTATTTGCAGGCGATAGACGACCCGGGAATGAGCCTCCTGGACCAATCCGTGATCAAGAAAGGTAAGGAATGGTGTGCAACTTCCAGGGCAGAGCCGGGCATGATGGTGCAGGCCCCGGGCCGCACAGACCCATTTTCTTCTCCCTGGCCGTTGTTTCCTGTGCGTCGCCAGGTTCAGTGGCCACGGAACATCCTTCTCAGCCCAGGAGAAGACTTGTGGCGCTGGCTGGACGATTTTGCTCAGGAGTTTGTCTCCGGAGGTGGGCCGCACTCTCTAAGCTACAACTGCACTGCCTCTCCTCTGGGGAAGGAGGGTGGTTTTTGTGGATCTGGAGTTTATTTGTAGAACGAGTTAAACCACTTCCCTGTTTCTTAAGGAATGGGAATGGGAGTGCTGTTCCCACACATTTTGTTCGATGATTTCCCTTTTATTGAGCTTTAACACTTTGGAGCCCGACAAATACTTTCTGCTCCTTTCTTCCCAGCAGCGGGCCTTGCCTTGCGTCCTCCCCACCTCCCAGGGCAGGGGATTTTCTTGGCGTTGAAGCCTCATAAAGCATTTAGCATTGGAACCGTGTTGGGCAGTGTGCTGGGGCAGACCTGCAGTCCCCGGGGGTGGGGGTGGGGGTCTGCATCTCTGGGCTCAGGGTTCTGTGCAGACTGTTCCTCTTCTAGGCAGCGGTGTTTCTTGGTGTGTGTGTTTGTTATTGCGAGTGTGTTTGTGATTTGTATCTGTGTGTGCTGGGATATATATTTTTGTGTGTGTGTTTGGGGTTCTCTGTGTACCTACCATGTGTCCTGGAATTTGTCATTGATATTCGAGGCATTCTAAGGCTGTGAGGCCCTCTCCTTGGCGGTTTCATTTTGTTTGCCTCCGGTATCTGTGTGTCTTTTTATATTAGTAAAAGACAGAGGTGTGAGACACCTCTTGAATGGATTTTCCAGCCTGAAGACCAAGTTCTGATCATGCCAAGGAAAGGTGAGAAAGAGACAAATTAGACAAAAACAGAGTGACCCAGGCCATGGGCAAGCTTCTTAGATTTGGGGTGGGTGCCCAAAGAAATTCAGAGGCACACAGGAGCCTGTAGTGCTGGAGGGCAGGCACATACACCTCCCGCAGGATTTGGCCAGAGCTGTTTTTCAAACAAGTGAATTCAAGCCCAAGCTGTTTGCCCTGCATAGGTTCTCAGGGGAGCCTTGCCGTGGGAGTGGAAATGTAGAAGGGGCTGGACTTCCAGGAATTAGAGCTAGGTATGGAATTAGAGGGGTGAGAGGTCACACCTCCTAGAACTTGGTGAGGGATGCCTTCAGGAATCTGGGATTGTCACCAGAAGCTGGGAGTACAGGGAAGATACTGAAGACCCACTGTCCCCCTCACCAGAGCTTTGCTATCTGTACTTTATTGGGTTCCTGTACAACTCTTGTTTTGATCTGGTAAAAGGAAAAGTTGGGTCTGGATTCTACAATAACCTGCCCCTGGACTCTTTGCAAGGCCCCAGATCCTGGCTCCTGCCTAGCTCAAGGGCAGGGAACCCGGGTTCACTGACTCCCTAGAGACACTCAAATCCTTTATTTGGGGAAGGGACTCAGTATTTTCAGATAGAAGAATCTACTGTTGGTCTGAGAGTTCCCTGTGGGTTCCTGGGGCCTAGCAGGGCTTCCCAGATCTGAAAGTGCACATCCGGGAGACAGCTGTGCTTACCAGTCTGTGGCCACGAGGAGTGAGCTGCAGCACCCACGGAAACTAACTCAGACTGAGGGATCCTCAAGTCACCGCCTGTGGGAAGAGAGAGAACAGAGCCGGGGGTGGGGGACAATCTGCGGAGGGCCAGCGTGGAGGTCTGCTGCACAGGGGACTTCTGAAAGAAAAAAGCGTGTCCATGCCAAGGGACTGCGGGCTCCCACGGTCCACCCTAAGAAGACCCGCTTTGGTGCTGTCGCCAGACCGTGTTTCCTGGGGGAGCCCCCCAACACGCAGGTTTTGTTTTTGCTTTTGCCGGGTTCTCCATGGCCAGCGCGCGACTCGACTTTGCCGGTTGCAGGGCAATAGGAGGCGGGTTAGACCCGGTCTTGGTCCTCGGGGCCCTTCCGATGTCATCGGATGGTTTCCAAAGACTCTGGGCTCTGGTTGGTGCTGTGAGCGACCATCTACCGCCTAAGCCCTGCCTTAGGGAAAGTCGATCTCTGAGCCCTGGAGCGTCCTGGAGTGGAGGGAGCTTGCACGGCTAGGGACTGGGGTCTAGCACGCGAAACCCTTGCAGCTCCTGCCCCCGGCAGAAGTGGTCCTCCTCCTCCGGATGCCTGGGAGGCCTCGGGTGTCCATCTCACCAGTGCTTAAAGGCACTGGAGCCTGGACAGTCTCACAGCCCAGATCTGAGAGGTGCCGAGAGGAGGGGACAGGGGCGTCTCCCCCACCCCGACTTCTAGGTCCGCCCATTGCAGTCACCTTGTGGGTTGGGGGTGGTCGATTACTCTGAAGAAACCGCAGGGCAAAGAGTAGCGCTCCATTTTCTGCGCACAGCCGGCACCTCCAGTTTTACAATCTATCGCAGACACCTCAGGGACGACTGGAGGGGAGAAGGCGATGCTATGTAGTATTTTCCAGCCGAGAGGGTGGGGTGTCTGTGCAGGGCGTCCTACGAGCTCACAGGAGAGAGAAGTTGGGACGCTTCCTAAAGGACAGGCATTTGTAAGGTGCTTGGTGTGGGGTTGCTCAGTAAGTGAGTGCTGGATTTTGAAGTCTGAGCACGCTGGGACAGAGGATATAGAAAGGGCACCGCACCTTTACTTCCTGGCACTACAGCACCGTCGCACAAGCGCTTTTCCTGTGAAAAAACGGAAAGTGGGGGGGGGACGTCGTGGAAATTAAAATGGAGTGGTGTAGAGAGATCAGAAATGCCCTGGAGGCCTAGTGTGGTGGCGCAGGCCTTTAATTCCAGCACCCAGGAGGTAGACGCAGAGGCAGGCAGATCTCAATGTGAATTTCAAGACAACTGAGAAAAGCACAGAAAAATCCTATCCAATTCCTTCAGTGATGACTGCCTGCACGTGTGTGTGCCCTGTTAGCTACTTCCTGCCCCAGCAACCCAAAGTTCTTCAGGCTGAGTTCGTGCCTCATAAGCCCCTCCGCCACAAGAAGTTTCTTTTTAAAACCACATTTTCCCCCTTTGGGTTTTGATTTTTGACTTTTGATTTTTTGAGACAGGATTTCTCTGTGTAGCCCTGACTGTCCTGGAACTCACTCTGTAGATCAGGCTGACCTCGAACTCACAAAGATCCGTCTGCCTCTGTGTCCCAAGTGCTGGGATTAAAGGAGTGTGCCACCACAGCCTGGCCAGTTTGCATTTTTATTCATTCATGTGTGTATGTGTGTAGGCAGGTGGGGAGGTCAAAGATCAATTTACAGGAGGTTCTCTTTCCACCTTTATGCCGGTTCCAGGGATCAAACTCGGGTTCTCAGCCTGGACAACCAGTTCCCTGGCCCGGTAAGAAATACCTTAATGTATCGTTTAAAAATTGAGACTAATGAAAACAAATCCGTGATGAGCTATTCAATTTTTACATGAAATCAGAATCTAGCTCAACATTTCCATAGCTCTTCTTCATTTGCCTGCTAAGACTTTCACTAGGAATTATTGCACATATAGAAATAATTTTAAATTTTCCTGAGGATAGTAGGAGCTGTAGAGTACATGAGAATTTAAGGCGTATGCCAAGCTCAATTCAATGGTTTCATTTTTTAAAATTCATTTATTTTGTGTTTTGTTGGGGTTGGTTCTCTCCTTTCACCCTGTGAGTGTCAGGGATCAAATCCAGGTCACCAGGTTTGGTGCAAGTTCCCTTCCTCACCAAGCGACTCACCACCCAATTTAATGATTTTTTTAAAAAAAAGAATAAATGTATAGAGTTGTATAATCACTACAACAACCCATTTGAGACAACCCATCTGTCACCCCTTAAAGTTTCTTTATTTCTGTCTATAGTTACTCCTTGTTCTTGCCTCAAACCTTGGGCAATGCCTGAGCTGCTTTTGCTCCACAAATTTGCATATTCTGGCATGCCCTATGGATATGTGGATATGCATCTAGGTTTGTTTGCATCTAGGTTCTTTTAGCAAGTGTTTCCAGGGTTTGTCTCCACTGTAACATATTACAGATATGTCAGATATTGGGTTTGTAGTTTGTTTTTGTTGTTTGGATTTGTATTGTTGAGTAATATTGTACTGTTTCTCTGAGACTTTCATTTTAACCTTCTTGGGAGCTAAAGAGATGGAACTGCCGCCCTCTGTGATCATTTTATTTATTTACTTATCAATCAGAGGAGTGTGCGTGGGTACATGAGTGTGCCATGGATGCACAGTTAGAGGACAGCTTGTAGAAACGGGCTCTCTCCTTTTGCTGTGTTGGCACTACGTACCGAACTCTGGTCACTATTATGTTCCATGACCAGGGCCTTTTACCCACTGAGCCTTCTCTCCAGGCCCTGGTCCATATATGTTTAATTGTTAAGAGATTTCTCATAAGTGGAATCCATCCGAGGAGGGATAGAAGGGAGAGAGGAGGGGATGGAGAAAAGGAAAGATGGGAAAGAAGGCTTGGTCGCTTCCTGAAGTGGTTGGATTGTTTTACATCCCTACCGGTACTTTACTTCTCCACACCCTCATACTTCATATTATCCTTTTTATTATAACCATCCAGAGTCTCCGTGTTGTTTTAATTTGCATTTTCCTAATGACTACTGGTGTTAAGTATTTTTCATGTGTTTAATGGTCAGTTATCTTATTCTTTTTAATGAAGTGTCTTTAGACATTTTCCTCCTGTCTATGATTCTTCCCTTCCCCCTTCCTCCTCCTCTTTTTTATTCTGGAGATGGAGTTCACAGCCTTGTGTGCTCAGCCAAAGCTCTGCCTCTAAATGCATCCCCAGCCCTGAGCCTTTGTTTCTTTTAAGATTATTTTATATGTATATGTGTGTATCTACACACAAATGCAGGTGCATTTTTGCATTATGTCCTCTTAACTGTTGAACCATCTCTCCAACCCTGGAGCCCTAGGTTTCTTTTG